CACACACACACACACACACACACACACACACACACACACACACACACACACACACACACAATGGACCCCAAAAATAAAGGCTAACGTCTGCAAAGTTATTTGCACAAGTGAAAGTTTCTGTGAATCCATGGACCGAATGAAAATCACTTGAAGGAATATGCATCATCCTCTTTAAGATCGTCTCACATGAGAGATGACAGAGTTGTAGCCGTTATGGTCAAACCTTGAAAAATAACGAGCAATCATGTGTTGATCAATTTTAGCCTCAATACATGTGTTAAACTGAATGAGTTATGGCCATTTTTGTGACGACTAACTAAGCTGTGGGGACCTTTAATTAGACCRAGTTTCATTAAAATCCACCCAGTGGTTTATGAGATATTTTACTAACAGACGAACAAGGTTGACTAGTTGATGCTAAAGTTTTAACACACAATATTGCTAGGAGAGTTTAGGTGATGTAATGCCTCTCATCCACACTCAATTTGTAGCTCAATATCTGTAAAACTGAATGAATATGTTTGGGTATTATCAGCTGTTGTAGACATTAATCTAATGATTATTTCCTGAAAGTTTATTAAAATTCAGCGGTTCATGAGATATTTTGCTAACAGACAGAACTGGCTGTATAGTGAAAGGCAACATTTAAAACAMAGCGTTCACACAATCTGCTCACACTCACAACATGTAAAGGCGATCAACCTCAGCCACCACACCACATTTTAATGCCACATCTATAAAATTCTCCAGGTTCCAGTTGGACTGTGGCGGCCATCTTGGATCGGGCTGACTCCAAAAGTGAATCAGTTGCAGAATCGCATCTAAGATTTACTTTAATCAAGTTTCTTTAAAATCCGTCCAGAGRTTTATGAGATAATTTTGGTAACAGGCAAACAAATTACACCGAAACGGGCAAAAACAATTATCGTCCAGCTTTCACCTTTCAGCGGGCGATAACTGGGAAAGTTTACTTTTTGTTGCAGTTGTGAACAGTCATGACAGTAAAATCACAAAATAAAATAAAAAAAGCCAAAACAAACATTGGAACACGTCTCAACTTTCTGTCATCATATCAGCCTGTGGTTTTGTGAATCAGAACCAGATTTTTAAAAACTATTTATTTTGCTGTAGATCACAGGATTAAGAAATTATTCTGGTTTTGTAATTTAAAAAAATGTTGAGAAAAGGGATATTTAACAAACCGTTCTACTCCCCAGAGCCCGGGCTGATATTTCTGTGTGATCCGATGAGGACGGAGGAACCGGGTGGTGCTTTGGTCATTGTGTGTGTGTGTGTGTTCTTGTTTTCCCTACATTGTGGGGCCCAGTTTTAAGGAAAACGCAGCCTCGTTGGGTCCGGGTGCTCCTTGGGCCCCACAACTTCAGAGGCTGATTTTGGGTGTGAGGGTTGGGTTTAGGACCAAGGTGTGAATTGAGTTTACATTAGTTTTAGGGTCAGGAAGGTACCTGTGAGGTTAATTTTAGGGTTTGTGGTCAGGGTTAGGATATAAATTTACCAAAAAATGAATTGAAGTCAATGGACGGACCCCACAAGGATATAAAAACAAGTTTGTGTGTGTGTGTGTGTAGTTGCAACAAGCTGCCTGCTCCATCCGACTCACTGGTGCAGTGTTTGCTGTTAAAAAATTCAGTGTACAGAGTTGATTGTGCAGATGTGCTCTGTGCTTCTTTTTCAAATTACTTTTTTTATAAATCACCTCAGAACTTAAGCAACAATTTTAATTAGCAAAGATATTGAAATTTAATTAAATCTATGATTTTAAAGAGCCATGTAAGTAAATATAAATTAATACTTGCTGAAACAAGAATAGTAAAAAAAGAGGACTGATCGATTTTATCCAAAGTGGCTCACTTTGAGGAGGTATTAGGATGTCGCTAAAAAATATGTTGCTTTGTTACTATTGTCCACCTGAGATTCGTCTTTAAAAGTTAGAAACGATTTATATAATTTACTCTTGAACAGGCCACTTTCACTTCTTTACGTACCAGATTAAACATGCAGCTGTATTGCTGTCGGCCTCCATTTACACGCAAGTGTTAATGACAAGAAAGGGCTTTGATCGCCTAAAATAACCTGTAAGGAAATATTAGCAACCCTCCTATTGTTTGCTGCTTGGCGCCATTTCAAGATGGATTGTTAACATTTGTCAACAAGAAGTGCAGATGTGGTTTGTAAAAGAAATTTAGCCTATTATTGCTTATTTGAGGTGGCGATATGTTCATTTATTTGTGCTTAAAAAACTCCATGTGCATGCTCCTTGCAGATGTTGATAAGCCTTAAGTCTGCCCTGGTACAGTTTTCCATCTCCTCACAGCTACGCAGGGATCCTTTCCTCTTTCTCGCTGCAGAAAGGCGTCCCCCCCCACTGGGAGGGTGGGTCTTCCCTGCGTCCCATCATCACAGCAGTCCTCATCCTGGGAGGAAGCCACCGGGCAATAAATTCCGACTTCACACCCACTCTGACAAATACGTCCTCACCTCCCAGGGCTGAAAAATAAATCCATGCAGGATACGGGAGCATTCCTCTCAACATTTGCATGTCCAAACAAAAGGGAAGAACACACACGGAGGCAGAAATATGCGACGCAGCTCTGACCACATACAGAGCACATCCCAGTAACGACGAAAAAAAAAATAGAACGTAAACATTCATTTTCACCTCCCGTTTTACTCTATGCTGTTAATTTAGAAACAGTTATTTATAGAGTCTCTCTTGGCTGTCAACAACAACAAATCTCAAGGGCTCAGAGCTACAGCAATACAACGAATCATTAAAGTGCCTGTGACATGCATATCCTAACATAAAAAGTCAAAGAAAATATCTTTATATTTAAGAAAGTTAGCATAATACATACAGTTTTACCTTTTTTTATTTACATTGTTAGCAAAGCTGACAGCCATCATGGACAAGCCCCACCACCCTCTGTATGAAACCGTGGGGGAGCTCCTTCAGTCAGAGACTGAAACATCCTCGCTGCWGGACGGAGCGCTTCATTCCAACTGCAGTTAGACTGTATAACATATCATGATGTCATCAGTCACTTGGACAATTCACCTACACTGCCATCACTAATATGCACCTTTGTATATATTCATTTATGTACTGTACTAGGTATATGTACATTGTTATATATCACGAGTAGTGTTTTTTGTTTTTTTTCTTTTACTTATCTTTCTTTATTCTATCTCACCCTGTCCTGTTTTGAGCTGCTGTAATGTGCAAACTTCCCCACTGTGAGATCAATAAAGTTTTATCTTATCTTATCTTAAATGGCATATTTTCTTGTAAATTTGGTTCAGCCAAAGTGAAACAGGAAGTGACATCAATAAAAGAAACTCTCTGGTTATTGTTTATTAAAACATTATAAGTTGACTCTTCTTCATCTCTATTTATAGTGACTCAAAATAATCTAAATAAACATCAGATTACGCTCTACAGTTTGTGTTGTTAGCTGTTGTAGCAATGCTCTGTTCACATTCAGACATTCCTCTTTGACATCACTTCCTGTTATTTCCCATGTGAATATCTCAACAACTGTTCATCTCACTGGCTTGATTCAATTATTATTATTATTATTATTATTATTATTATTATTATTATTTGCAATATGCTATTAATGTTATCTTTCCAAAAATGCGTTCATATTTATTACTAAAAATTGACGTCACAGGCACTTTAAATCACTGACTATTTCCTGGTAGTTAATTCAGGACACTCTGGACTGAAGTAACGAGACGATTAACACTCTCAGATGATGCTTCGTGTTCTTCAAGGTCACGAATCACCAAACATAAATCTACTCGTGTAAGTCGGTGACAAACTGAGTTTGGCATTAGAGAACTCCTTTCCAGACACCTGACAGATCGTGTTCCTTTGAAAGAGTGGAGATTGATTTAGATTTAAAATGTGTTTTCAATTTTTCACTTTGAAATGAGGAAAAACAAAAGCGAACTAAAAAGCCTACCTGTCAGGCAACATTAGACATGAATCTGCAATCAGATAATACTGAGATCCATTTGACGTTACTCCACTGGTTCCATTTGATCAGAACATTCTGGATGCTTTCAGAGTTTTAGTTATTTAAAAAACGGGTGCAGAAAAATCAATTCTGTCTGAACCACATTCAGTAACAGTGCTTTATTGAATGTAAAGTGGATTTAATAAAGTTTTATTTGACCACTAGTTCTGTTTTTGAGTCACTTATTTCATGGCTGCCTGTTTTTTTTCTCTTTTAAAGCACGCAGCTTAGTTGTCATTTCAGATTCAAATCAAGCCTTTCATCCCTAGTTTCCATCAGGATCCAGGTCTACAGGTAATCCCACCGAGTCCACCAGCTGTCTGGCTCCACATCAGTCATCCAGCATTTCTCTACAGTGGCTAGATTGTATCATAAAAGCTATGGTTTTATAAACAGTCATCTTAAAACGATAACGCTACAACGAGGTGTGCTCACATTTTAACAGATCTCCTCCCTTTCTGTGCAGAGATCTGCCACTGAAAGGTGCTTCTCTGGACTGTGTGCATGATTTGAATTAGAAATGTGCGTGTGTTTCTCATTTAACTTGGCCTGAATGTGCTGGAAACTCGGACAGAGCCAGTTCGACATCAAGTTAGTGGAAGAAAAATCCATAACCCGAAAGGATGCGAGCTGATTTTAAACGCACACGTGGGCTCTGTAGGATACCTGCTTTTGTTGATCTGAGGAGGTTTTATTGTAAAGAAATGTGACCATAATGTTCTCTTTATAGTGAGACATCTTCAGTGGGATGGAGCGACACAAGAGGTTAAATCACATATCTTTGACTCACCTGCATTTCTGAGGAATCTCCCAGAGTAAGAAGTGATGACTCTGGTCACACGGTCATAGAAACCGTCTTCACAGTCATAACATCCATCAGGAATGGTTCGTGGTGGGTGGAGATTAGTTATCTGAGATTCTCCTGGACAAACAGGGGTTTTAAAAATATTTCTATTTTAATGATAATTTACGATTACCACACCGAAGATTGGATTGAACTCTCAACAACTCGTTGATGATTTTGTGTAAGGAACTAAACAGCAGGTGGAATATTTCACAACTAATCAGGTCTATTCTATCTAAGGCAGAGATGGGGGCCTATACAGATGACTTCCATCTGGCTCACCACAAGCAGCTCTTAGAATCTGTGCTTTTCAAAAAAAAAGTTTTTTAATTGTTTTAATTTGGGAGGTAGACTGTCTGGTACCAGAATTTCARGGCAAACTAGAGAYGCTGTCTGCCATGAAGGATTTTAAYATGAGTCACCACCACAACACGTTGCACAAACATGAAGGAATATAGGAAATATGTGACCCATCATATCGAAATGAGGATTAAGTCAAATTTGGTCAAAATGACCT